GTCTGTATTTTCTGCAACAGATGTTCAAAAGTAGAATACTAGGAAATAGCTAGATTACAGCAATTAAAGAAGAGAGATTAATTCCAGAGAGCACCTGGTGTTCCCTCCAGTTTATGTCTTGAATATCTAAATGTTTATATGATGCATCATTTGGCTTTAAGAAATCCAGTCTACAGAAGCAGGAAAAGAATGGGCTAGCAGAGAGAAGAGAGGGTAACTTTTATTTGAGTAATATAAAAGACTTCATTAGGGAGGTAGCATTTAAACCTACAAAATGTTAAAGTTTCATGTTCTAGACCTCTTATCAAAGGTGTCTGGCATTTAAAGGTCTGGCATAATAAACCACACTGAAATAATAAATGAAGAATAAGGAGAGGTTAAACATAAAGCACTCCCTGAATGCCCAATTGGCCTTCCTGCCCATGATTCCTCCCACCTAGGATTCCTCCATTTGACAATCATGTCTTTCATTGCTACTCTTTCTCTAATTGACCTCTGAAAATGCAAACGCTCCTGGGAAGAGTTTTAAAAATTAAGCTCTTATCAGTTATTAATGTCTTAGCTCATTCATTTAAAAACATGTACTGAGCACCTACTTCTTGCCAGGAACTCTGCTAAGTGCCAGGGATTTGGAGGGATACACCTGTGAACAAAACAAGCACGGCCTCTGCCTATATGGAGCTTACAGGTTAGCAGGAAGACAGGCCCTAAAAATAACTGCACAGATCATTAACTTCTTACAGCTGTTCAATTCTGTGAAAGTACCATTTTCTTGGTTACAAAAAGCAGACCACGAGAGCAGACAACTTAGATATATCATTCAGGATATTTAAAATTTCAGAGGTGAACAAAGTTTGTTTTAGAGATTTTAATATATGAGAGCCTAGCACTTCAGATACATATTTCCTAAGATAGCTTTATGTTTGGAAGCCTCATGAACACTTTTTAAAAGATACTTTACAATAAAAAATACACATTTGTTTCCGGCATCCCTCCATAGTCAGCCTGCTGATTTTCTTCTTGGAACCATTATAGTGAGCCTGAGAGGAGATGTGTCTCTAGATCCTCTAAAGTTCTTGATGTTCTTTGATGGAGTTGGGTGATCCCTGGAGCTGACACAGTGGTGGCCTGGAGTTGCTCCTCCTCTCATTTCTGCTGTCTACTATGGGTGTTACCATCCTCCCAGGAGCACAGCTCAAACTTCGGTGTGACTCGCCCACTGTTTCCCACATCTCCCACATCTTGTCAGTTGCAAATTCAGTTGATCGAATCTCCTCAATCTCTCAAATCCATCTTTTGTTTTTGTTACCACTGGTCAGATCAGGCTCTTAAACTGAACAGCTTAAGACTTAAACTGACTTAAAATGACTTAAACTGAACAGTTGTAAATCCTTTTAAATAATTTCTAGATCCACGGGATTTCTCTACTCTCACCCCTCTTACAGAGGGAAAAGGCCCGAGTTTTGTTCATCACTAAAATCTAAGCATTTGGCCCAGAGCATAAAACATGTAAGGCAGTAAGTGTGTGTTCCCTGGAGCCTGGTTCCATTGTTTCTGTCTTCAGAAGCCTGTGATGGTTTGATGTTGCCTACAGACTGAAACCTCCTTAGCTGGGCCTCACTGTACATCAGTCTTCATTTCCACCTTATTTCTCATGCAATCTAGTGATGCGCTTTTTGGTGACTGCTTACCATTGGGCTCATGTTGATTTTTCCTGATGCTCCCTCCTTCCAAATCTTCACTTGTCAAAGTTCTACACATATTTTCAGACCCTGCTCCATGGTTATCTTTATAAGGTCTCCTGAGAGTCTTCTCCCATCATAATTGATCCACTGTCCTTCTCTCCCAATGACTTCATACCTCCAGTATATTACAGTCAGTCTTTTATTACAGCTCCTGAGTGGACAGGGTTGGATTTTAAGTGCTAATTTTTATCAATTGGTAATGGCTGCCTGGAGCACTGTATTGAGAAGGATTCTAAGGGTATACCTGGGTTCCTCAAGTAGGGTGGCAAAGCAAATTGGATGCATTACATGAGTGTAGGAGAAGAGAGAGAACAAACTGCCCATGGATTCGCCAACTTTATTTAGATCCCCATTGATGTTTCTACTCAGCTGGATCAGGTGCTGGTAAAGACATCTTTCTATCCTTGTAGCCTCTAGCATAATTCATTTTCAATTTGAAGCTTAAATATTCTATTCCCTGATTTTAAAGGTTTATAATTTAAAATGACAAATATGACATTTGAGATAGAATGTGGTAATGGAAAAGAAAGATATAAAGTGCTAGTGAAATGGTCCTTGAAGACTGGATAGGAAGACATGGGAAACAAGAAGGGAAGGCAGCCCTGGTCAAGAGTAAAGAATGAAGATACAAGTTTTTAAAGTGTAAATTCTATTCCGTTAAGTAAAAATGGCCCAGAATTTGTGGAAGAGAAGTGAAGGCTCAGTTTATAATGATAGGCTTGAGATAGGTTGGTGCAAAAGTAATTGCATTGAAATTAATGGCAGAAACCACAATTGCTTTTGCACCAACTTAATATATCATGGGGGCTATGAATGCCTTCCTAAGAAGTACGGATATACTCAAGTATGCTGACGTATGATAGATAGTTTCGAACATAATCATGATTGTACATTAGAGTGAACAAATTCAGAGTGCCAAGTAGAGTCTACTCCGGAAATATGCAGATGATTGAATGTTAGAAAAATCTGTCAACAAAAATTCTGTATGATCTTATTAACGTATGCTGAAAATCTATTGATAAAATTCAACTGTGCTTTTTTTTAAGCCCAAATAAATTAAGAGAAGAAAAAGCCTAAGCTTCATAAACGTCGTGTTAAATTGTGAAATACTAAAAGGCATGCACATTATAATCAAATCTAATTCAGAAATGTTCACAGTTTTCACTATTTTTTAACAGTCTTTGGAAGATAACACAATAAGATTTTAAAATAAGCAATTGAAATATTAGAAAATAAGAGTCAGAAGGTATTATATACAGACAATATGATTTCTATACACAGGCAACCCAAAATATGACTTGAAAAGTGACAGAATATAAAGTCACTTTACAAAATAATGTTTGTCCATTATACTAGAAATAACCTTATCAAAATGGAAATGGCAAAGAATGGTTAAGAGTACTGAATTGTATACTTGAAATTCGCTTCCATGTCTTCACCACAAAACAAAACAAAACAAAACAAAAGGGTAAACAAGTGAGGTGAGAGATGTGTTAACTAACTTGATTGTGGTAATCACTGCCCAAAACATATGTATATTGAATCATCATGTTGTATATCAGAAAATCATATAATTTTGTCAATTGTGACTCAATAAAGCTAGAACATTTTAAAGGGAAAGGTGTATGTGTATGTATTGACTAGAAAAGTGTCCATGATGTTTTTCTAGAAGTTGTTCATAATAGACAAAATATGATACTCTCTTTGTTTAAAACTAGGGAAAACTGAAAGCCCAACCACAAAAAAACAAAGCTATATGTATGTGTATATGTTTTCATAAGACTTTCAAAAGTGTGAAAAATATTTCCCAAATTGTTGTCACTGGTGGCCACAATCAGATGGGTAAGGGAAGAGCAAGACGATCATTTTACTTTTTACTCCTTTGTTGTTCAAAGGCCTGATCCAAATGAGTGGTAATAGGAATTAAAAGAAAAAGACAATTGGGAGATGTCATACAGAAATGGAGTGGGGGGGATTTGACAACTATTTGGATGTGGGTGGGAATCAAATGAAGAAGTCAAAGATGACTCAGCAATTTATAGGCTGAGTGACTGAGGGATCATTTATAGAAACAAGGATATCATGAGAAGGTGAAGTGAATTATTTTTTATTGTTACCAGAGGAGAGACAATGAGTTCAGGTTATCAATCAAAGCTGTGCTGCCTCTTGTTTTAAATAATAATTGCTCCAACAGCAAAGCTATTTGCCTTGATCTTAAAACCTCAAAAAAATATGCTGCTTTAATGAGCAAATGTCGGGTATGTGAATTATATACCTTAAAGATTGTTTAAATGCTGCTTTATTGTTTCATTTTATGTGAATTATGGAATTAAAAGACTGCTGTCTGTTATTCTACCTCATCCATGCATATTCTAAGACAAAAGGACATTTCCTTTTGAATCAGAAAAAAAATTTTAAGAATTTAAATTAATCCCAAACACACAAAGGAAAGCTTTCCTATTGTATACAGAATGACAGAGACTAAAAATATGACCTGAAGAATTTTTACTACATGTTTCATTTATGTTGTTTTAATATAGTTATTCCTCTTGTAATTCAATGCCTAGTAAATTATTAAGAGTATATTGTTGCTAAAAATAAATTCTATAGAGGCAGCCTCACAAACATTTTTAGATCTAGGAATGGCTTATGCACTTTTATTCCGTAGAAAGCAGCACTAGAAATTTAGCCCCATTGAGAATATATTTCTTGCAAATATTGCCAAAATGCTAGGTGAATTTATTTCTATATAATTATATTTTGTGTTGGGGCTGAAGCAGAAGTGCTTAATTCATAGGTATGAGCTTTTCTGAACAGATAAATGAGTCAACAGTCACCTGAATCAATCATTTTAATTTTAATTTCCGGTTAGGTAGAAGTGAACTGCTCTTGTTCTTATTCTCCACTCATCATTGATTATGTTTTCACTTCACACAGTATTTCTATGTTCATATTTCTTAGTTGGATTGTGTGGAGACTTCCATGGGAAACGTTTTTGTATTCCATTTGTTATCCATAATCTGAGTTAAAACAAGACATTTCTGTAACTGCCATGTTTTTATTTTGAGTCTAGAGAATTTCATAAATTTCGAAACCTTTGGAGAACTGGGTGATGATGAGACTGTATTAAATCAGAAGATTATTTATTTTATTGAGTAATTCTTATGATTAGGGTTAAGCTACATATGGTCCCCCTTTGGAAAAAATGGAACAGAGATAATAAATTTAATATTTTTTATATTTTGTGTTTTCCAGAAAATAAGCACTGCTGGAACCAGTAATGCAGAAGTCCCCTTGGCTGATCCCGGAATGTACCAGCTGGACATTACATTAAGAAGGGGTCAAAGTTTAGCTGCTCGAGATCGAGGAGGTAAGAGCATAAGAGCAATATCACCTAGAAGCTTTTTTATGTGTTTATGACAAACTTTGTTTTCCATGTGATTGCTTGAGTTATAAAAAATTAACTAGAATATAATTTTTAGAAGCTTGAATTCAAAGACACAGTTTGACGCATTACTTGACTCCCATGACCATGGTGGAAGACGTTTTGATGCAAGTTCCAAAACTCTGACTTATTCCTAACCCAGACGGCAAAGTCACTCTCAAACTGCTGATAAATTAGACTCTACATCATATGTAATTACTGACATAATTGGTTACATAAGTGAGGCATACATTTGAAGCCATGTCAGAACTTACCTTTTGGTAGACCTGAAATTCTTTTTGCTACATGCATTTGTTCAGTTGAATCTGTTCACACTGCAGGACCCAGGACTAATATCTCTCCAAAACTTAAGAGATTCCTAACAAATGATCTTTTGAGGCCTGGTCAGATCTGGCAGTAGTCTCATGGTGGGTTAAACACATTTTGTAGGTCATGATGAAAGATAAAACAAGGCATAAAACAAGGCAAATGCTCTTAAGTTCCCAGATTCCAAATCCCAAGGCAATCTCCTGATGAACTAGGATAGGCCACATGAGGGATTCCTTGAACCCAGGATAGAGGCAGGACCAAGGATAGACCCTAGATAGGCTGTGTAGCATCCTTTGCACATTTTGAATGTGAGCACTGCAGGAGGTGGATATGTTGGGGGCGCTGAGAGCCCTCAATTCCAAAGGAGGCTGAGTTTGGGGTAACTCCTCCTGCCAGGAGGAAGGAGAGTCCCCAAGCCTTGCTAATTCATTGTCAGACAACCCTGAGAGTGCTCCTGGCACCATATGATCCTGTTTTATTCCTCCTACCCTATTTGACGTCATATGTAGGGAATAGAAGGAACCAGATTAGGGCTTCAGTTTTAATTTGTCTCCTATATCTAAAGGAATAAAATAGAGAAAAATAATTTAATATAATACTAGAGTATTTTATGACTAGGAACTGTACAAATAATAGATTCAATTGTTAAGTAAAAACTAGTAAATACCAAACATTCTTGTCTGGGTGTGTTGGCTTACACCTGTAATCCCAGCACTTTGGGAGGTCGACATGGGAGGATTACTTGAGGCCAGGAATTTGAGACCAGCCTGGACAACACAGTAAGACCTTGTCTCTACAAAACATTTTAAAAAGTTTAAAAAGACATTCTTAGTGAGGGAGTATGTGATTGATGATATTAGAATTTTAAAAGATAGGAGAAGTTTTCAAAATAACTGTCTGGTTTAGTAGCTAAGGACAAGTGTTTATTGATTTGAACTGCCTGTTTCCAAAGAAGATACAATTAAATTAGATAAAGAAAATAATGCAAATAACGAAGTATTATTTTGCTATATTTAGTGTATACAACCTTTTTTTTTAGTTTTCAAAGTGCTTGGACACGGCAACAGAAAATCAAAATTTTAGTCCTACATAGGCCCCCAACAATTTGAAATGCATACATGTACAATAATTTGTTGTAGCATTGTTTATAATTATAAAATATTGGCACTAATCTAAATACCCATAAATAGGGGAGTGGTTGAATAAACTATGGCATATCTACATGGCGGAATACTATGGAGCTGTAAAAATAAATATTGAAAATCTCTAGAAATTGATATGAAAAAATGTACAGGATATATTGTGAAGTTCAAGTAAGCAAAGTACAAAAGAGTATCAACAATATGCAACATTCTATGTGAGAAAGAAATACGTAAGAATTTGTGTGTTGTCTTCTCATTTGTACCAAAACAAATACAGAAATCAAAAGCTAGAAACTAATGAAATTGGTAACATACAGAATGTAGGTAAATAACAGATGGCAAGAATGGGAGATGGGAATGGGGTAAAAGGGATGAAGAGGAAATAACATTTATCTGAGTCCATTTTCTTAATTAATTTAAAGTCTTTATGACAATATTTTAGCACCCCAAAATAGATAAATAATTAAAATCAACCAGGATGTGGGAGGAACCCATAACAATAATCTCATCTCAAAGGGATAAGAAATAAAACCACTAACCTAAGTAGCTATGTAAAACAGTATTTGAATTATACATACAGGCCTACTTTGGAGCTATTGCAGGTTTGGTTCCAGACCACCACAATAAAGCAAATATCACAACAAAGCAAGTCACACAAATTTTTTATTTTCCAGTACATATAAAAGTTATATATATACCATACTGTAGTCTATTAAGTGTGAATAGCGTTATTCACAAAAAAGTATGTCTAAAAATGTATGTACCTTAATTTTAAAAATACTGTATTGCTAAAAAAAATGCTAACAATCATCTGAGCCTTCTGTGAATGATAATGTTTTTGCTGGTGGAGGGTCTTGCCTCAATGTTGATGGCTGCTGATTGATTAGGGTGGTGGTTGCTGAAGGTTGGAGTGGCTGTGGCAATTTCATAAAATAGGACAACAATGAAGTTTGCTACATAGATTTACTCTTCCTTTCACAAAAGATTTATCTGTAGCATGAGATGCTGTTTGATAGTACTTTACCCACAATAGAGTGTCTTTCAGAATTGGAGTCAGTCATCTCAAACCCTGGTGTTGCTTTATCAACTAAGTCAGTGAACTATTATAAATCTTTCATTGTCATTTCAACAGTGTTCACAGCATCTTCACCGTGAATAGGTTCCTTCTCAAGAAACTACTTTCTCTGCTCACGCATAAGAAACAACCCTTCATTTGTTCACATTTTATCATGAGATTGCAGCAATTCAATCATTATCATCAGGCTCCACTTCTAATTGTAGTTCTCTTGGTATTTTCACCATATCTACAGTTACTTCCTCCACCGAAGTCTTGAACACCTCAAACCCTTAAGTCATCCATAAGGGTTAAAAGCAACTTCTTCCAAACCCGTGTTAATGTTGAAATTTTGACCTCCTCTCATAAATCATGAATTTTTTGTTGTTGTTGTTTTAGAGACATGGTATTACTCTGTTGCCTAGGCTTGAGTACAGGGGCGCAAACATGCTGTAACCTTCACCTCCTGTACTCAGGCACCCTCTCGCCTCAGCCAACTGATTAGCTAGGAGGACTACAAGTGTATGTCGCCATGCCCGGCTATTTTTTTTCTTTTTCTTTTCTTTTTTTTTTTTTTTTGGTAGAGATGTGGGCTCACAATGTTGCCCGAGCTGGTCTTGAACTTCTGGATTCAAGTGATCTTCCCCCTTTGGACTCCCAAGTTGCTGAGGATACAAGCATGAGACACTGCGCCCAGCTAAGAAATGTTCTTTATGGCATCTAGAATGATGAATCCTTTCCAGAAGGTTTGCAATTTGCTTTGTCCAGATCCATCAGAGGACCAACTATATATAGCAGCTATAGCCTTACAGAATGTATTCTTAGATAATAAGCCTTGAAAGTAGACATTACTGCTTGATCGATGGGCTGCAGAATGGATGTTGTGTTAACAGGCCTGAAAACAATACTTGTGTCCCTGTACATCTTCATCAGAACTCTCCGGTGACTAGATGCATTGCCAATAAGCAGTAATATTTTAAAAGGATTCTTTATTTTTCTGAGCCGTAGGTCACAACACTGGGCCTACTAAATATTTAGTAAACCATGTTATAAATAGATATGCTGTCATCCAGGCTTTTTGGCTTCATTTATAGTGCACAGGCAGAGTAGATTTAGCACTGTTCTTAAGGGCCCTAGGATTTTCAAAATAGTAAATGAACATTGGCTTCAACTTAAAGTCACCAGCTGCATTAGCCCCTAACATGAGAGTCAGCCTGTTCTTTGAAGCTTTGAAGCCACGCATTGACTTCTCTTTAGCTATGAAAGTTCTCGATGTCATTTTCTTCCAATAGAAGGCAGTTTCATTGAAAATCTGTTGTTTAGTGTAGCAACCTTCATCAATTATCTTGCTATATTTTCTGCATAACTTACGGCAGCTCCTTGCACTTTCATGTTATAGAGATGGCTTCTTTCCTTAAACCTCAGGAACCAATCTCTGCTAGCTTCCAGCTGTTCTTCTGCAGCTCCCTCATCTCTTTTCATAGAATTGAAGCGAGTTAGGGACTTTGTTCTGGATTAGGCTTTGGTTTAAGGGAATGTTGTGGCTAGTTCGATCTTCTATCCAGACCACTCCCTTTCTCTATATCAGCAACGAGGCTGGGTGGCTTTCTTATTCATGTGTTTACTGGAGTAGTGTTTCAAATGCCCTTCTAGATCTTTTCCTTTGCATTCGTAACTTGGCTACCTGTTTGGAGCAAGAGGCCTAGTTTTCAGTCTGTCTCTCCTTTTGACATGCCATTCTCACTGAAGTTTAATCATTTCTAGCTTTTGATTTAAAGTGAAAGACGTGACTCTTCCTTTCACTTGTATACCTAGAGTCCATTGTAGGGTTATTGATGGGACTAATTTCGGTAATGTTGTGTCTCAAGTAATAGGGAGGCCTGAGGAGGAGGAGAGAGATGGACTAACAGCTGGTCGGTGGAGCAGTCAGAACACACACAACATTCACTGATTAATTTCTCAATCTTCTATGAGCGCAGTTCATGGGGCCTCCCTCAAAACAATTACAATAGTAATATCAAAGATCACTGATCACAGATTATCATACAGATATAATAATAATGAAAAAGTTTGAAATGTTGCAGAAATTACCAAAAGGTGACAGAGACATGAAGTGAGCATATGTAGTTTGAAAACTGATGCTGATAGACTTGCTCGAGGCAGTGTTGCCATGAACCTTCGATTTGAAAACAAAAACAAGAGACAAAAACCCTTGGAAGCACAATCAAACAAAGTGCGATGAAATGAGGTATGCCTATACTATAAAACTCCAGATAAAAAGAACTATACATAAATGTATGTACTCCAGACCATGATTATTGATTCTGAAACTACTTAATGTATATAGCAGGAACAAGCAAATTAGTAAATATAGACAATGACAGTCATGATTCTCATTGTTGGAGATAGTGACAAAAATA